ACCCCTCGGCAACCCACGTGAACCCACAGGCCGCGTCCTGTCCAAGGTCGGCCAGTAAGGTCTGTCTCGGTGGTCTTGCTGTCACTGGATTTGGGGCAAGGAATGCACCCTAACTCCCTCAATAAGGTCCGAGTCCGAGCTGTTGGACCTTCATGGTCCCCGAGGGCCACGTCCAACGTTCCAGGAAAACCGCGGAGGGCTGAAAAAAAGCAAAGACAAAGGCAAACGGTCCAAACAGAGGAGATGACTATCCAGAGAAGACTCGCCAAAGACCTCCAGATCACCAAGCTAGGAGACGATCAAGAAAGGAGACCCTAAACCCAAGTGGCGCAAAACGGAAGGGAGTGGTTGTCTAGCACGAAGAAAATGCAGTGGATGGAGAACAGCCAAGAAAGTTCAATAGCGAAAACCTGCTCCTCCTAGGAGAAAGAACCGGCCAGAATACAAAAATACCAAAAAAACAGAGACAGCTTCTAAAACAGGTGCCAACCAGAAAAACCTGCCCGTAAGGGAAAAGGGGGAAGGGGGCAACGTGGACTCCACCTGCTGCCAGGTATCACAGCCCTACTGGAAGACGACCCAAATTCAGCAAAGCGAGACGGAGGGAAAAAATGAGGTGTCGGATCCTGTGGAGCACAAGGTCTCCATCACGCAAGACATCCTCATCGAGATAAAAGAACGGAGAGGGACTGACTTGTCCCGGTTTGTCTTCGACCAAACCGGGGGTGGGCTCAGGTTCACATCACGGCCCAAGTCGGTTTTCCCCCGTGGGTGACATGAAAAAAAATCATTTACCTGCGGTGACCTGGCGTCGCGGCGTGGTGACGATCGTGGTGGTGGTGGTGGTGGTCGTGGTGGCCCCTAAGTGGAACGAACAAAGGAAGAATGAGCTAGGGGTGTCAGGGGCGAGGGAAACATTCAAACCAATGGGTTCCACTTACCCGTTCGTCGTGGTCGTCGGGAGGACCAGCGGAAGACGGTGGTGGCGGATCCATGCTCTGTAAGTAAACCCCATGGTAAGAATGAGCGTGAGGGGGACACAGGGGCAAGGGGACATTCAAACCATGGACTCCACTTACCCGACAAACGCCAACACAAGCGTCGAAAATGGGCCAGACCCAACACTTGTCGACAGTGAGGGCACGTGGGGGTCGGACGGGACGGAGTGATGGCCAAGGCGGCGTACAAACAGGTTTTATGGACCAGCACGTGGCAACAGGGGGTACGGATGACGGCTCGGACCAGTTCCCTCGCGCACAAACAACAGCACTCCACAGTAAAAGGCCACACCATATCATGTAAGACTGCATGAAGATTGCGTTTGGAGTCGACTGGTGGAGAGAGGTCCTTTTATGGTGTGGGAAGAGGGGTCTCATGAATGGGACCCCCTCTAACCACCCCCAAAAAGAGGGGGGATACCCCCCCCATCCCCCCTCTGTGGAGGGTGGGTCGAGAGAGCCCGGGACCGAGGTCCGAGGTGGGTATATAGAGAGCCGGGGAAAGCCCGCTGCATTTTCACTGCCAAGGCTCACTTGGTTGTTCATGTTTGGTTCCAGTTCCTAAGACACCGGCTAACTGTCTCATGGCGTCGTGCTTGAAGATTGTGGGCAACGAGGCAAGATGTTATTGTTCCGTGCACCAAGGAGTGGATGTGGCCCGAGGTACGTTGGAACGCGTTATTCAACTTACCCCTGAACGCCACGCGCACACCTGGCCGCGAGCCCCTTGTTATTGCCTATGGTTACTCGTCTCGGTCTTTGTCATGGTGGGCGTGCCTTTGGAACCGACCAACGTGCATTCGTTTTTAAAGAAGCGAGAACGTGGAGGACCTCGCCCCATCATGATGCATGCCGAGTGTTTCCAGAACGAAGGGTGGGTGTGCGATTGTCATTACTATGGGGTGGGTCGAACCGTGACGCCCGACTCGGACTGAACTTTGTTTTGTTTTTTACAGATGGCGTTCGCATCGAAAGCGAATCCCAGGAACAATGCGAGTGGATGTATCGGATGTTTTCCCACCATTCCTTGCCCTCCCCTGCCTCGTGGTGTTTTACCCTGTTGAGCAAGGAACTCCCGGCGCTGCTCCGATGTATGACCACGGGCAATGCCGATCGAGTGAGCAAGAGACTGTTGGGCATCTTCACGTACCTCACGAAATGGGACCCCCAGACCCAGACCCTGCCGCCCCCGGAACCCATCGAATTACGGGCGATGATTTGTTGCGGTCTCACCAAGGAGATGCTGCCTTTACCAACCGCCGTGAAGATCCACCCTGCCTTCGATTTCTTGAAGATCTTATTAGCTGAAGCGGAGATCGTGCCCGACGACGCCCTTAGTGAACGACCCGTGTTTAAAGTGTACGGACGGTGTGACGAATGCCAAACCCTGTTGCGTGAATGCCCCACCAAGAAAGATGTGGGGTTGGCCCCCACCGAGGTCATGTACGTGATGATGCCCACCGAATGGTCGGAACCCGTGGACTGGAGCGACTGTACCGAGGGATGCTCCCAAGGAGCCAAGGACGGGAACTAGGGACAAGTGTGATGTGTTGTAAAAACAATGTTCAAGTAGGACGCCATGAACCCACAAAAAAAATACTGAGATGTAAACCGTACACTGACAAAAACACCTTTATTTTTTTTGGTCACTAGAACTCTACTTTAGATCAACCACATGTAAGTCTTTGCCTCAATAAACACGTTACAGTTTCAATTTGCGTTTGGCTTGCATGATTTTTTTGACGAAGGCTTCGGTCCAGGTCTTTTTCCCCGGGAGGTTCGTGATGGCGCGTATCATCTTGTCGTCGGCGTTCCACTTGTCCTGATGCGAGCGCGCGCGAGAATAATCAATGTCGTGTTGTTTGGCAATGCGGTCCAACCGGTTGATGCCGGGATCCCCGCGCTTCAGACGTGTCTCCAAATGGGTGCCTGGGCCCATGTATTGGTACCCGGGCCAATGAAATTCGATCCCCGTCTTGGCCAACCATTTTTGCACGTCCAAGCCTCGACCGACCATGCGACGCCGGCGACGGCGCGACGCGCGGCGGCGGCGTCTAGTAGTCCTTGCCATGCAGTTTCCGCTGCACCTTTTCTCCCCACTCACTCCAGCCGGGTTGTCGTTTCAACTTGAATACTTCCTTGGCCAGTTTCTTGCCCTCTTTGGCCGCCTGTCCAAATCGACTGGGTTTCTTGACGGACAAGGGGGGTCTCGAGACCGTGAGAGGCGACTGCCCTTTAGAGGGTCCTGCCCCAGGCGACTTGCCTTTGCTCAAGGTCGGCGTGGTCTTGCTCTTGGACGTACTGGGAATGGGCACGGCCAATTCCGCTTCCCAATCGTCGTCCGGTAACGGCACCGAGATGGGGGTCTTGGGCGTTTTGGTCAAGAACGTCGGCTTGGGTGGGACTTTCGGCTTGCCTTTGGGGGTGGCCTTGGGCGTGCTGCTTTTTATAAGCGTTTTCAAGAAGGTCTCCATGGGACCTTGGGCAAACTCGTCCTCATCGTCGGCCCCCGCCGCGGCCCCTCCGGCTCCTGGCAACGCCATGGTCCGCACGCGTTTGGTGGCTCGACGCACCGCGGGGCCCAGGGCCTTGAGGCGGATCTTTTTGGTGGCCGGCGGGATGTTGGGGGAGGCCAGCAAGACGTGTTGTTTGGCCGCCAACCGCGCGGCATGGTTCAACCGCGAATTCTCCATCAACGCGCCTTTGTAATGGTCCACCAACCGCTCCATGTCCGCCGGGGACACCACGTACTTTTTCTGGTACGGTCCATGACTCATCTTGACAGGCAACGACACACGCGATCCAAAGCGTGCCACATGCCCGCCCCGGTTTGAGTCATCATGACCTGCCGTCGCCGTTTTATGGAATGTTTGCGACGCGCCATGTCGCGCAAAGCCTGCTTGTGCGGACGCAACTGATCCAAGAGTCGAGGCGGGACGGCCACATTCCCTTTCAAGGTGTTCATCACCAATTCACTGATGGCATTGACTTGATCGGCATTGGCGTGCTGTAATCGTTCCCGTCGCACCTGCTGGTCGGCTTCGCGCAACACGCTCCGCAAAAACGGCAGTTGTCGTTGTAGGCGTCGCACCATGGTGTCGTGTTCCCTGGGGCACGTTCGAGGGTGTCTTTATAGCTTACTTGGCCCCGGCCATCTTCATCCATCGGTTGCGCATGTTGCGCACCAGGCGCTGGTTGGCCTGCGCCTGGGCCCAAGAGATTTTCCCCACGCGTTTCTTGCGCGTCGCGGCGTCCAAGCCTTTCTTGACCCCGTACCCCGCGGCACCACTCACCGCCCCGGCCGCAATGGCCTTGGCACCGGCAATGGCCAGAGGAATGAGAAAAGGTAAAATACCCCCTCGTTGTCGTCGTCGTCGTCGTCTCCGACCGCGTCGGACCCTGTTGCCAATGGAACGGGCTCGGGCACGGACTCTGTTTTTATAGGCACTCTCTCATCGTCGACGGCTGAGGGCTTTCTTCACGCCATACCCCACGCCACCACTAATGGCCCCCGCCGCGGCGGCTTTGGCCGCTAAGAGACCTAGAGGAATGAGAAAGGGTAAAATCCCTCCTCGTTGGTAGTGACGTCGGCGGCGTCGGTAACTGGTGCGTCGTCGTCGGCGTCGAACCATGGTGCCGTGTGATAGCGCCCCAGCGTCGCCTGGTCTCTTTTATAGCCTCACATAATGGGACAGTTGAACGATTCCCCCGCGTACTTTTTGCGCTTGCCACTCGCCACCTCGGCTCGTCGTTTTTGACCGATCTTCTCGGCCTTTGTTTGTTGACGCTCCCCCATGGCTTTCGTGGTCTTATGGGCCGTCTTGAAAATCCCCGTGATGAGTCCCGGCGACACGCCGCCTCGTTGCGATCGTCGTCGTCGACGTCGTTTCCGTCGTGGCATCTGGACGTTTGGTCGTCCCAGGACCGTGCTTTTTTTTATACCGTGTTGGGGGTGGATAACCGCGAGGACGTGCGATAGACTTCGGGTTCTCCTCCATCCTTGTAGACCGTGGTGACGGTATTGGTATGCGTGATGCCGGCAATGCGGCGCCCCACGGACCGTTGACGGGCATCTTCGGCCAACAGGTCCATCTGTCGTCGCAATTCGTCTTGATTCATACGCGCTCGTCGTCGAGGGGGAGTGCCACGGCCACGCCCACGGCCACGACGGCCCCCGCCACCGCCTCCGCCACCGCCACCACCCCCAGGCGGGCCTCCATCGTCGTCGCCCCCGCCACCCCCTCCGGGAGGCACCCCGCCGCGTCCCCGACCTCGGCCTCGCCCTCGGCCTCGGCCTCGGCCTCGGGGTGGTGAAGGGGACCGGGGAGTGGCGGGACGGTTCACGACATAGTCGCGTAATTGGTCCTTGGTGAGACCCGCGGCCCTCAACATGTCCTCGATTTGCCCGGGACGAAAATTCCCTCGGGCAATCCGTTCCATGACATCGCGTTGTTGGGTGGTGAGCGCAGGCGTCGGGGGGCGTACGGGCGACGGGGGGTGTGCGGCGATGTAATTGGCCAATTGGTTGTTGTCGAGCCCCACCGAGTCCAACAGGGCATCGATTTGATCTTCGGGTACCTCGTTTCGAAGAATCTGTTCCATGACCCCAATTTGACGGGGACTAAACGTGGGCGACGGCAAGTCCCGGGCCGCGGTCCGGATAGCCGCCGCACTGGGCAGGTCTGCCACTGGGGACACCAGATTGGGCGCGACGCCTACCCCGGCCGGCGGGGCCGTGGGAATCCCCGAGAGGTCCATGGCCCGTGCCAAGGCATCCCGTACCCCCGTCGGCGTGACGAGGGGGGACCGTCCGACGCCTACCCCGGACAAAGGGGTGGTGTGCCCTTCCAGTCGTTCCGATAAGCCCCGTTGCCGGCCTCCTTGGCGACTCCGCGCTTGTCGCGCCTGTTCTCGCGCCAGTTCATTCTCCCAAGTCAAGACGTCGAAATCCAGATCGTCCCGAAACTCGTCGGATGAAGGGGTGGTCCGTCGACTCATGCTTGGCGTTCATAGGTCTCCGTCGGTCCTTCCTCCGGTAACACGTTGGTGAAGAGACGGTACCGATCGTCTGACGCGGGATGCAGGTCCAGCATTAAATAGCCAAACGGACGTTGCGTGCATTCGCGAAAAATGTTCATCACGTGCGACCAGTCGTTGGGAAAGGCTTGCAGGGTCAACGTGCGCATGCCCACTTGATCCCGCGGGTTCTTGAACGCCACGATGTAATGGGCATTGCGCGAAATGGTCTTGGCGAATTTCCCGGGCGGGAAGAGATCCTGGCATAAGAACAGGACGCTAATGTTCCGATGATGCGAGTGCTTGGAAAAGAGATCCAACACGCGTTTGTCGTTGGCGCCTTCGTCCATGAGATCGTCCAAGACCAAGAGCCCCCCTTGCGTGGGACCGAACCATTGGTCCAACTCCTCCGAGGTGGGCAATCCTTCGTGAAACTGCACCTTCTCTTGTGTCATCTCGTCAAAGGCCGGTTGCCAGGCCCCGTAACAATAATGTTTGACCCGAGGCGGGGGGTGCATCAGTTCGTCGGCATGGCGTAACAACCCGCGCGTCCACGTCGATTTCCCGCACCCCGACGGGCCGCCCACCAGCGTGTTGCAGGGATGACGAATCATGATGTCACCATGGCGTACAATCGCGGCGAGGCCTCTTTTATCAAGGTCCGCATGCACTCGACCACGGCGGTTTCCGGGCACGCGTCCAAGGCCCGAGCCAACCCCACCCAATCGCTGGCCCAGACCAATCGACGAAAGGTGCGATAGTGGCCATAATCCCAGGTGTGGCACAACGCGTCCACAGGGTTCAGCAACAGGGCCATCCACAGACGTTCGTCCAAGGCTTCCAGGACGCGTTGCTTATCTTGGCGCGTGATCATGTTCTCACCCCAAAAAAATCACGTCGCCGCGAGCGCACCGGTGTTTTATGGAGCGCCCGCGACGACGTGGCGTGGACCCTATCGGACTCGAACCGATCCCCTACGACTTGCAAAGCCGCTGCTCTACCCCCTGAGCTAAGGGCCCCTTGATTTGAGTACGGGGCACCCCCGCGGCCAGACTCGGTCAACTCAGTCCCAGGGTAGCACTATTTTTGTAGAGAACGCCGGACGTGCCCACCACCGGTCGGGAGAGAACCCTTGGGGAATCGGACCGACCGCTCGCGCGGAAGCCCCCCGCACCCATTTCCCTGTCTCCCCTCGTCCCCTTGATATACCCGTCCCTCGTCGTCGTCTTTCCCTTGTGGGACCCAAAAAAACACACACCTCGATCCAGGGTTAAGACTCGTTTAATGAAGACAACAAACAACGTCGAGAGACACAGCGTTGGGTGTCCGGTCCATCGGGTTCGTCCATGGCCGCTTCGTCCAGGGTGGTCTGGATCCAAGCCCGGACGCGTTCCCCCACGCGTTGATCGTTCCACACGTAATCGCCGTCTCGAAAACTTTCCACATACTCCAGCAGGGTCCGTCCACGCACGCGGTCTTGCAGGTAGGTAAAGGTATAGTGTCCACAGGCCATACTGTCGTAGGCCTGCAGGGTCCTGTCGGTACGCACCACAACCTTCCAATGCTTGGCGATCCATTCGTGCAAGCCCGGGGCGTCGTAAAAGGTTAACGGCAAGCCGTAACTGTCCATCACTTCGCACACCCCCTGGTCCGTCCAGAGCGCCAACCAATGCTGGCCCGGGTCACCGGCCGGGTCCGTGTTGACGATGTAGGCGCCTCGGGTGGTCTTGGGCGGGTGCGCGGGCAATCGATCGGAGGGATAGACGCCTTGGAACACGCGCTTCAACTCGGGGTCGGAAAGCGCCAAGGCTCTCAATTGACGATCACTCAACGCCACCAGTTCCATGGTCCAACTACGTCCATGGGGTCCTTTACGTTTTGTTATCATACGTCACGGCCCCCAGGTGATCGATGTAGATGACGCTTTCAAATTCACCCCACACCAAGATGGTCATGTTGGCGTTCAGGGCCGCTCGGAACTTGATTTCCAGTCGCACGTTGCCGGTCTGCTTGGGATTGAGTTTGAGGCTATCGGCGTCCCCGCTGGGCACGTTGTTCCACATGTACAGGGTACAATTCTTGTTGTGCCCCCAATCGCCCGGTTTGACCATAAACTCGCGATGTTTGGCCACGGCCCCGGCCGCGTCCAAGAAGCGACGATAGCCTTCCCAATCTTTCAGGGTATTATTGCCGGCCATTTCCAGGGTGACGTACGGGTACTCTTCTCCCTCGATAAACTGTCGAATGGACGTCACCCCTTTGCTCTGGAAAGAAAACGGGTACTTTTCCTTGGTCCCATTGAACGCCGTGCTGTCCAAGATCCCCACGATCATGCGCTGGGGGACCCTCCCCAGAAAGAGGTTATCTTCCATCCACACGGTGGTGGCCCCGTTGAACGAGAACGTGCGAATCTGATCACTCACCACCGGGTACTTGACCACCGCCTCTTTGAGCTTGCGTTCCCGTTCCAGGGACCCGTAGACATCCGGGTTGAGATTCAATCGGCACAAATGCAAGGTGATGTCCACATCTTCTTCTCGCAACCGAACGTAGTTCTTGCGGCCGGTGCCACTGTTCAGGGTCGCAAAGGTGTAGAAATCGGGACTGTGGAAGTGGAACTCAAAATTCATTTCCACCCCGGGCACCATGATCTTGCCCGTGTGGAACATGGGTAGGTACGGCCGCATGATCATCCGGACCACGTTGTTGCCATGGAAAGGGTCCGTCAGGGTCTTGAGCAGGTGACTGTCGTTGTGTTCATAGCCATCCGTGGTGCAGATGTCGTCGTTGACCCCCGTGGCGGCCAGCGTCGGGGTCACGTTCAAAAAATTGACCCAACCTTGAGGGGCCAACAAGGTCTCCCCATCGTCCTGGCTGTAGTTGAGCAGGGTCTGGAGAAAGGCCGAGTAGGCGTAGGTGTCGGTCTGTTCGGTCATCAGGGTGCCATTGAACCGCACGTTGATCTGCTTGAAGATGGTGTGGACCAGGTTGTTGACGGCGTACGTGAACTTGGTGTTGTTGGCATCCGAGGCCGCATTCTCATCGTCCACGATACCGTTCTGACCCGCCGTGGACAAACGCAAGTCGACGATGAAATAACTGCGATTCAAATCCACGTAATCTTCCAAGGCCTGCACCGAGAACTTCATCGGCGTGATGCTAGCACTCAATTTGTGGTAGGGTACCATTTTGTAGCCCTGCAACCTGTAGTCGGTCGAGGGGACCGAGAAAAGGTCGAGACTGCTCATGATGCCCGAGGACGACGAGTGCGTCTCCGCCTCAACGACGTCGCCGTTTTATACGTCTCCTGGACGCCAGCCATTGGGCCAAGTCGTACCCTGGTGGTTTGCGCACGCTGGCATCGATCCATCCGCCGCGCTGAGCGCGACGTTGTCGGGCCAACAACCATTTAGTCAAGTCGTACGCGGGCGGTTTGCGCACGTGTGGACTGATCCATCCTCCTCGTTGTCGTCCAAACGGCGAGGGCACACTCCGTTGATAACGAGGACGGGATTGCACCACCAACTGTCGTGGACGCGTCATCTCTTACACACCCAGCACGTCGCGAATGCGTCCGACCGTGTTCCGAACCCCTTTCTTGGCCGTCGAGGCGGCCGATCTCTTGGCAACCGTAGCAGCAATGGGGAGAGCCTTGCGTTTCAACCCTCTTTTTATCTCTTGGCCAGCCGCCCGTGCCACCCCGCGCCACGACTGCCCTTGAGCGCCCGCCCGCGCCCCGGCTTGGATGGCCGTGGCCAGAATCGGGCCGCCCCAACGATAGAGATCCTCTCGAAGTCCTCGTCCATCCTGCGGTGGCAGGGGTGGTGGACGGTACCGCGTCAGACTGCCTCCCCACATGATGTGATACGTTCCCCCGAGGCACGCGCCTTTTTTATACGTCTCGTTGGAACACGAAGGTGACCAGGGTGCGTCCCGTGCCGAACTGGACCAACCCTCCGTGACTCTCGGCGATTTGCACCTCCACGAGGTCCATGTACTCGCGCCGACATGGTAACCATTGAATGTGCAAGGGTTCAAAGTAGGCCACGCCCTGACCTAGGCGCCGGTACTCCACTTCGCGCACCAGCGCATGTTGTTGGCCACCGACGATATTGCTGTCCACCAAATCCGAGTAGACCAGGAAGGTGCGCGAGGGTTCCCCCACCACGTTTCGGAAGGCCACGTTCAAGTTGCTGAAACGCCAATTGAGGGTCTGACTCAACTGCAGGAGGCCGCTTTCCACTTTCCACAAGTCGTGGTTGTTCAGTTCCGTGTTCTTGACGTCTTTGTAATAATTCCCTCTCTGCTGCGTCTTGTAAATGAGTTCGTAACGGAGATTGGGTCCCAAGGCGTACTTGTCCTTCCCCGTCTCCACCAGCCACCCCATCAGTTTCGCCATGGTCACGTGCACGTGCCATTCCACGAACATCATGCCGGTCGTCAACGCGATGTCGTCCAACTCCTTGGCCAGCATGCGCAGGTCCTCGCCGTCCCATTCGTAGGTGACCCGAAACCGGTCGTAGAGTCGTTTACTCTTCGCTTGCGCTTCTTTCATCTCGTAAAACTGCGATTTTCGTATGAGGACTTTCATGAGACTCACCCCATCCACCACGCCGGGATCGTGCATGATATCCTTGATCTGCATGGTGGTCTGGTGGTGGACCGGGGTCACGTCCGTCAAACTGTTCACCAACTTGCAGCCCACCTTGAACACACGTGGGTTGACGGCATTCGTGAGTCTCGACAAGTCCAAGTTGGCGTCCGGGGTGGAGATGGCCGCCAGCCCCACTTTCCATCCTTCCCCCTTCAATTCCAAAGGCACGGGCAGGCGCACTTTGAACGAACTGGTGGTGTTGGTGGCAAACTCTTTGGTCGGATCGCTGACCAACACGATACGATTCATGCCTGGAAATGCAACGTCACTTGCGTTTCACCCGCCGGGTTCAAGGTCATCAACTGACCGTTCGTCTCGGCCACTTCCACTTCCAGAATCTCCAGCGTGTCTCCACGCACCCGGTGATACTGCACGTGTTCCGGTTCCCACCGGATGGGTTGGTCTTTATAGGGCAGGTCTCGCAAGAAGTTCGTGATCTGCGTGCCCACGATGCTGCTCTCCCCCACGTTGCAGTACAGGTGCACCGGACGCGTGGCCGGCTCCCCGTGCGTCGCGGGCGTGACCGTGGTCTTTTTCTGTTTGTCTTGACTCCCCGTATGCGTGGGCTTGCTGGTCGTTTCGGTGGTGCTGCTGGTGGACGTGGTGGTGGTGTCTCGTCGAATGACCGGATGCGCGTCGTACACGTCGTCAACTTGAGTGAAGGGCGGTTCATGGGCGGGGATGGTGTACCCGTAGACCACCACGTAACATTGATCCGTCAACGTGGCCGGGTACGAGGTGGGCACGCCATCGATGGTCACTTTGAGGAACAACCGCGACGTCCGGTCCGACTGGGGCGTCAGCCGGAAATCTTGCACGAGGCGATGGTAATACACCATGTGCGTACCACCGTATTCATGCACGTGCGTCGTCAACGCCGAGTCGATCATGCGCACGTAGAAACTACTCCAGGCAGTCACGTTCGTCTTGTCAAACAACACCTGGTCGGTCGTGTAGATCTCGACGATGATTCGATACGTGAGCCCCTTGCTCAACCGGGTCGTGCCGATGACCCAACCAAACTTGGGTTCGTACTTGTTGCCGCTTTTCGTCAACGTCATGCCCACGGTCTTCTTCTTCCAATAATGGGGGGAGCCTTCCAGATTGACAAACCCCAAGGACTTAATGCCTCCATCCTTGATCCACACGCTCTCGTCGTCCATGATCCATCGGAAATGATTCCACAGGGTCTTGGGAGGCACGTAGACGTGCGTGGTGGCCCGCGCATAGGCTTCGTCCAAATTCACAAACTGCCAATCCATCGCCATGGACAGATACATCATCCCCCCGTTCACGTGCACGTAGTTGGAAAACGTGAACAATTGATTCCTATCCGCGTCGGCCGCGAACTTCGGGGACTTGTCCTTCTTCACGTGTGGGTACATCAACAAATTGGGTCCCAGGACATACGACCGGTCCTCTTTTCTCACCAACCACCCCATTTGTTGAGCCATCACCCGATTGAACCCCAAGTAAGGGCGCGGTTTGTTGTAGGTAATGTTGAGTTTCTCATTTAGGATCCACAACGTCGGGACCCCCGCCTCATCCTTCCATTCGAAGTGAAGATCATAATTCACGTCGGCCGACCCAAACACATACCCCGTATAGAGTTTCGTCAGCTTGTCTTGTTCCATCCAACGGACCACTTTTTTCATAAACGTCACCCCCGTGGCGGCTTCGGGCATGTTGGCATCCTCCATGGTCACGGTGATGTCTTGCGTCGCGGTCGAATCGTCGTCCTTCATGGCCCGGGCATACAAACGGGCCAATCGCTGGTTTTCCGAGCCCCTGAACAAATTGGACTGTCGATGTTCCGTGAGAGGCGCCACCGGCGCGGTGGGGGTGGACGTCACGGGATGCGACGTCACCCCATGCGACACCGTGTTGGGGGGTCCGGGTAAGTAGACCCCGGCCACACCCACGTGCCAGTTCTTGACGCGCAACGGGTACGGCAATCGCACCTTGAACGAGGCCGGGGTATTGTGAGGAAACTCCGGCTTGCTGGTGTTACTCAGCAGCGTGACGTACAGCGATCGACTCGACGGTTCCATCTCGCGTGTTGGCCTGTCGGGTCAGACCTCTTTTTTTATAGGAACGTCGTCAATTTACGCTTGGATCCGGGGACCCGGCCTACCGTGCTATGCAAACTGGAGCGTTTGGGCCAGACTTTTAAGGTATGATCGGCCTGGGGGAAGGCTTGCACCAATCGGCGCAAGGTCGTGTCCAAACTGACGCTCTTCCCGCGCTTGACCATGCCTCGTAATTTGGCCCGGAACGCGCGCTGGGCCTTCTTGGAGGGTCGCTTCTTCTTCTTGACCTTCTTCCTCCGGACCTTCTTCTTCTTCCTCTTTCCCTTCTTGGGGCCGTACTTGGCCTCCAACCGTTCCATCATCTCCATCCAGGTCTTTTGGCTAGGGAGCGGGGCACTCTGCATACGACCAAACGGCGCCGCCAACGGTCCCGCCACGGGGGCGGGCACCAAGGCGACTCGACGACCCGGTTGTTTTTTCTTGGGTGGGGACCGTAGGGCACCCCGTTTCTTGGCATACTCTTCAGCACGATGGTAGGCATTGGCGTAGGCCCATTGCTCCTTGGTAGGACTGGCCCACTTGTCCCACCACGGACGACTCATTGGAGGGAGGCCAGACTACGTGTCGGGATCCAACTGTCGTATTTTCGGGGCCAGCCTTTCCAACGCACCTTGACCTCCTGGCGTCGACGCTGTAACACTTTCTCCACGCGAAACAGCGCGTCGTCCGGCACGTCGACCTTCTGCACGTCTTGCTCGTAAAAGGTGCCTTTGACGGGTGTGCCGTCCCACTCCTTGATTTTATAGGTGGCCACGGGGCCCGGCACGGCCCGGTCGATGAGAAACACCTCTTCGGTCCACCCGGGCAGATACCCTTTCTCGAACGGACGGTGTTGTTTCTGCAACCGCACGCGATCCCCGGCTTTCCATTTCGGACGCACGCGACGCGCCAGACGGGTCCCGTACAACCGTTGCCAGACCTGGCGTTGGTTCGTCCACGTCACGTCACGAGGGGCCATGCCGATACTACGGTGTTTGGTCACGTTGTAGCCCTGCACCAACGCGGGTAACGCGTCCACGTACCGGTACGTGTTGCGAGCCGTAAAGTACCGGTACATGCGTTCCTTCAAGGTGCGATTGAATCGTTCCACCACCGACGCTTTGGTATCCCCGTAGGTCGAGAAATGATGAATCTTGCGACGCGTCATCAGGGCCTGAAACGTGCGGTTGTAAAACTCTTTGCCGGCATCCGTCTGCAATCGCACGGGGTGGCGTCCTCGGGCGCGTTTCAGGATCCGTTCGAACGCCGCGGCCACTGCCACGCCCGTCTTGCTCTTCAACGGTTCCACCCACGCGTACTTGGACAACACATCGATCACCGTCAACAAATAACGCATCCCCCGATTCCATTGTTTCAACGGTTGCATCTCCACCAGGTCGGCCACCCATTGGTCGTCCATGCCATGCACCACTACCGGCAAGGTCGGGAACCGTCGTCGTCGCGGTTTGTGCAAGGTGTAACTCAACAACCCTTGCAATTTCGCCCGGGCACGCGACACCGGCACGCCGTGCGCTTGCGCCAAACGCGCGACACCCCCCAAACTCCCGCGCAACGAGGGCGTTTCGTAGGCCTCCGCCCAACTCACGCGGCGCTGCTTCTTCCTCATATCGCACGCGCAATCACGACAAGACACAAGAGTCTCTGTCTTATTTTTTTATTGGTGTACACTATCCCGGCGTGGCTGCCACCAGGCAGGGTCCGAGGAGGCCCGGCCGTTCAATCGCTCCAGCTCGTCGGCGGTAAACACGCTGCCGCGCCACACATTGGGTTTCCCCTCCAACCAATGGTCGCGCAATTCTCTCAGGACCCGCGGACTCTCGGGATGATGCCCGTCTTCCCCTTCGTACCGGGCGTACGCCAACAGCAACACTTGACGACGAGCGTCCGGCGTGCTGGCCCCTTGATACTCCTCCCAAGCACCGTGCATCCACGGGCGATACCTCAGTCCCTCCAAAATACCCGGGGAGGTCAGGGTGTTGTACCCATTGTCGGCCATCATGAACCCCTTGGTCGTCGACCCGTCCACGCCCCGCAGGCGGGCGGCCAAGCAATCTCGTTTGGCCCTGGGGAGAGGGCTGTGACTCCAGTCTTCGCCACGGACGCGACGACGCATCTTGCCCGACAACGGCAGGTTCAACCACAGGAAACAGCGACAGTGACCGTCGCGACAGGTCAGGTACATGCGCTGAGGGTTTTTCTCCGACCCGCTCTTGCGCAGCGATAACCGTCGATCGCAAAAACACGTCAGGTCATCCCATCGTTGACGCAATTCCTCGTGCAACTGTTGGGTCACCAGCGTCATCCATTCGTCCACGCGGTCTTGGGGACTGAACACGGGACACGTGTCGCGCGGGCAGTACACATAGACAAACTCGTCCTTGCGACCCTCGGCCAAGGCCTCCTCCGGATGCAACGGGCACATCCACACCCCGGGTCGGTCCACGGGCGCGTACGGGACGGGCTCCGTCTGCGTGGCCTGATCCATCTCGTTCAAGAACCAGGCGGCCAACTCGCCTTCCTCCAACACCTCCGTCTTGTCTTCCAACGCCTCCTCCGCTCGACGTTTCTGGCCTTTGGCACGACCGGCCGGCACAGGGGCCGGACGCGTAGGGTGTCTCGTACAAGCGGCCATGATGAAACAAGGCCGCACGAGGTGCCCCGCGCCGTTTTATACGCCCGGTCGATCACGTGTCCCCATGACGTCCCCCTTGCCTTATAAGGGCCCAAGTGCCCGTGAGTGGTCAGGTCGGGCCCCGCCCCCCGCGTGCTCCCCTCGTGCTCTATAAATAACCTCTCTGTCCCGCGTGCCCGGCCAGTCATGCAAAAAGGCCCCGTGTCACGACCGTTCAGGCGACGGAGAAGAAAACGTCGTTCGCTCGGCACCATGCCCAACCTGCAAGACTACACGGTCTACACCCCCGACAACCAAATCGCCGACTTGGCCGACCACCAGGGCATGACCGTTCACCTCATCGAGGGTCCAACCCAGCACGTGCTCCGTGATGCCCATACCGTGTACCTCTTTGGGTCGTACACCCCCTTACGGGACATGGACGAGACCGGCCGCGTGACCGAGCTCGCCTCGTCTTTGGGCAAAGCGTTGTTGCTGTGTGACGTCACGACCGGGCAATGGTATAAACGGGCCCCCAGCGACCAGAC